GCCATGCCCACTGTTCTGGGCACAAAGCCCAGCGCAAACTCTATGGGCGTCAACAATCCGTCACAGGTAGCTGGCAAGATTTTCTGGCAACTAAGTTCTTGCACAGACCAGCCTCTTGGACAAACTACCTTCTAGGACATCGCAGGAGTTCACAACGAAGATCAAGGACCATATTAAATGTTGATGGAAGTACTTCCGCGCATCGATGCACTTAGGCCTCTTCGGATTGGTACAAGGCACAAAAAAGAGCCGTGGCCACGGTGAGCTCTCCAGTTGCCGCATTTGAATCGGAATTACCATCTGTCCAAAGGAAAGATATAAAATGCTATCCCTTTGACCCACTGCTGTGCCCGATAATTGTAATTTACCGCATAATTTCAAGCTTTTTCACTTTTTTCGGGCATATCCCTCTGGAAGGTTTTGATTGCGGGCCTTGTGACAAATACTGAGTGACCATGGAATTATTCAATAATTTTTCAGAGATTGATGAACTCTTCAGACATGCTGCTAACAGCTGCTGGAAAGACTGGTGTTTCCTAACTACTGGTGGCATAGCTCCAGCCAATGTCCATGGCTCTGTACCAAAGGGGTGTTTCTCTAGTCATTGGCTGCCCTTAAGTAATTACCTGGGGATGACACTACACCAAATACTCTTACATTTTTGTAACGGCTTAAACATTTGCCTCTCTACTGCCACAGTCCAATCTAGACTCCAAGTATGCAGGACACTAAGAATAGCCGAATAGCCACTAGGGCCTCAAAGCATACTATTGACATGTTACAGTAGGAGGTGCGTAAGTGCATACTACCTGTCTATATTTGTCAGTGCGTCCGTGAAATTTGGCTAGAGCTTACCCGCCTCTGTGTTTCCTGTCCACCACCCTGTTTGCTGCCGAACGTCCATTAGCGCTGTACAGCATTTCGGACCTGATCCATGAACAGAGCCGCGCGTAGCATCACAGCTGACCATGTCCGAGTTTTACTCCAGCAGCTCCTCTTTATCCATCGGGTTCAACTCTTAGCCATGAGATTACAGTATCAGTTGGAGGAAACCATGGATGACCTGGATGACATAGGGTTTGATGAACAGGTACTCAACGGAGTGCTACGAACCACTCACCTTGAGATCATTAGTTTTATTGCCCGCTGTGATCGCACGATGCTCATGACAGAGCAACGCATCCTGCGAGTACTCCTGCGATGAAATGCTGAACAGAGATGTACAGGTTGAATTTTTTGAGTGGACTATGCTGAGTGCCTCCTGCTGTTAAGAAACAGTTAAGCAGTTGACACTCCGGATCTCCTGGTAACTACTATTGGTCAACCAGAGAGTTGTTACGTTGAGGGGACACTCTCCTGGCCAGTCATAATTTTTTCACAGGTTGCTGACTGCCCCTACATGCTAGCGCACTTAGTCAAGTAGTCTCCATTACTCACCCCCCGAGGTGCCCCTCACATCAGTAGAAACGCGACATATTGTCCATTATTTCCTGTCCATTATTTCCTCTACTGTTCCCAAGGGCACCTTGGGTAATGGGGAGGGTTTAGCTCAGTGATCATTCTACCGGGTTCTTTATTTCCCATGGTTGACTCATACATGACTGCTATCCTCTTCCCGATATCCTGCTGCCCTATCTCCTCTCAATGCTGTGTGCTCCATACTAGCAGTGTTTCTCAGTGTTTTCCCTTTTCTCGCTTCTACCAGTCCTCCCTTTCTGCCAAGTGCTACTGCTCCACCACGCTTTCTGCCCCTACCACCTCCCCCACACCAGTTTATTCCTACATCACACTGTCGTTATTCAATGCGGTCAAGGGTTACATGTTGTGCATCTACCTCGTCGTTTGCTTGATTCGAACATGATTCATTGTTTCCATCAGCAGCTATTGGCTCGAACTGTGAGGACACTGCACCTGCATAAGCCAGTTGTCTGGATCCTCACTGACCCCAACTTTTAGCTTTCGCCCGTTCATGCACCCAAGCCGACACGGGGTTCTCGTTGTTTGGCCGCATCAGCCAACACGGGGTTCTCGTTGTTTGGCTGCTACCTGCAATAGTGAGTGCTTCCGATCCTAATTGCCTTTATACTGCCACGACAGGGTACCTGTTGCTGGTATGCCGAGGTCAAACGCATTTCCGTCTGGCCAAATCAGTGTTTCCGATCAGCACTTACTGGACATATCGGCTGGAATGAATTGGGACATGCCTGCAGCCAGCAGTGTTCGTTTTCTTGCAGTGAGAGGCACAATATGGGTAGGTGATTGCCATACAACATACAATTTCACATTGGTGGAATACCATTTGCATATTGACGAGGTGCCGTGGACTCTGTTCTCTACTCTTGCCGATTCCCTTGAGACTGAATTTGACCCTGCCTTTTGGGATACCGTCAATTATGGCCGAAAGGAGCGGTGGGGCTTTCTTGAATTACCCTGGGATGGCAAGGTCTACGAGGTGGCACCACAGTATATCCAACTCCGACTATCCATCTTCAATCGAGACGCTCACACCATGCGTGTAGTGCAACCGTTCGTGTGGAACCATACCCACGTGAAGGTTCACCCAAACGGAGCGTTGATTTTCCATGAACAAAAGAGATTAGCCTTCCTGTTGCCGTTGATCGTAGAGGCCCATAACCTGCTGCCGCCTAAGCCTTTGTTCTGGGTGAACGATGACAAGACCATCCCATTGTGGAGAACCACCCTATGGACGCATGCTGAAACTGTACAGTGGTTAGCGGAGACAGGAGAATCGTACCCATTAGAACTGCGAGATGAGCTCCAGCCCCGCATTGACCAACTAAAGTCTTCGCAGCATCCGAAACGGACTCAACCTCCGCCGCCACCTCAACCAACTAGGTGGACGGAGCGCTCCACAGCCAAACAGCACGTCCAAACAGCACAAACAGACACTCCACATGACCCTAAGGGCACTCAGAGTACGCCGCAGCAAGTGGCTGAACGAGAGCGACAATATATGGAATTGCAGTCTATTATCCATCAGGCAAACCAACAAACGCTGACAGACAGCCGGCCAGCAAAGACCAAACACACCCAGCAACCAGCCAACCTGCTGGCTGCAAGTCAACAGAACACAGACAACGCGGCAGCCGCTGCGTCATCCGATTCTGCTGCAGGCGACGTGCTTAAAACTCCAGCTCCGTCACACAGCAAACCACCTGATAAAATCAGTGCACAATCGTTATTTAAAATAAGACCAGGCCCACCATCGGCCCCGCCTGCGAGCAAAGCACACACGGATACCCCGGGTACCGGCGTGTTATCCTCTGACTCTCACTCCGCAGCTCACGATAAGGATGATGAGCAACAACAACCTTCGGAACAACAGGCTGCCCAGGACGACACTACCACGGAGGAATCGTCGCCTGCAAATTCACCCAAAGAATCGCCAGAGACTCAGGCCACGGACGCTGCTGGTGCTAGCAGCCCTGAACCAGTCAGCGAATCCAAACAGGACGATGACCTTGACAACGCTGACATTTCGACGCTACAGAAAATGGAGAAAAGAGCATGTGAGAAAGTGGCATCATATGAGACAAGGCTCTCCAATGCCCGCGAGCAACTATCTCGCATCAGAAAGCGCCTTAAACGAATGAGCGATGACCGATCATCAGACACTCTACAACCCTCTCCTGGTACAGACATGGAAATGGAAATCATTGATTGACCAGGCAGACAGCTAGCACTGCGCACTCCTGACTATCCGCAACCATGCGACCAGTGCTGATTTAACTTAATGCTGCTTACTTCACAGAGGCGCCAAAGGAAAAGCAGCCGCGTGCCGGGCTAATACCCCCCAAACCTACCGTAAGGGATAACACCCGTTCAAGGTTACCCCCATAAGCTGCAGCAAGGGGATTTACGGGGTTTATGTTTTGTGGGAATGGATTACTTTAATCTGTCCGTGAAACCGTTTGGTTAGATGAGTGTCCCAGGTCCTGTCACCGCGAGTCATCTAGTTATCTGTCGAATCAACATGTCCTGTGAACCAAGTACTTGTTTTCCGAATGTGGGTTGTATAATTTGTCAGAGGCTCAACTGTTCGCACTGCAGCTTTTGTGGCTCGTGTAGTGTACTTGTTCACTAATGTTTTGGGAATGTAGAACTTCATCCTATGATGGGCTACATTTTGGCTCAAGTTGACATTCCCTGTTTGAAGGGATTTTTGTTTTTATTTTCAGCTTTGTTCGCGTTCATGCTTGTTTTCAGCTTCACATGTAGTCAACATTGAACTTTTTCATTCGCGTTTTTTTTACAGGGCATTTGCTCATACAACAGACTGGCAGATCAAACTCAAACATTTTGGTTGTCATTTGCTTTCATTCATCTCCGGCCGGACCCGGGCGCACATGGTGAGCCATCTGTGGTGGGCTCTAATTTTCAGTACTGCCTGTGACAGTTGTCAGATTTCTTGCAATCCAGATTTCATTGATTCAACTTTTTTCGGGGACCTGGTTCGACGTCGCTTTGAGTGCAGTGCAGACCTCAGTACATCATTTTCAAAATTTTTCGTTGCGCAGATGGATGTGGACATCGATGACTGGACCTTGATTTCCAACCCATGTCCCAAGAGTCGACCAGCACCGAAACCAGTTCCAAGTTTTCATTTTCGTCATGCTGCCAGTTTGTCACAGCCACTGTCAAAAGGGGGCAAAGAAGTTCCCAAATTCGAACGGCCGAATCCTTACCCAGTTTTGCAGTCGCCTAGGCGTTCAAATGACATGACAGTTTCTGGCATACCTGATATTTCAAGTGTAGATGTCAAGATGTCCAAACCTGTGTTTTTGCCGGCGCAAGCACCTCGTGGTTCGTCAGCGCCTCAAAGAACTCGTGTTCAAGGTATCTCTGTCGATCTGCAACGCCGTTGGATAGCACTGGTCCACAGCATTGGCAATTTGTCACAAGTTTGGAGTGACTTTCAGGGTTCAACTCATTTTGAATCACATTGCCTTCGTTTGCTTGACAAATTTTCGAATTCCACAATGTTCAAGTACATTGGTACATTGCAGTGTGTCCACAACATTCTACAGGAGTTCTCATTGACCTGGCAGGCCATCGGGACATACAAATTGTCCGACTTGCTGCAAATCACGCACGAGGGGCGCCAGACAGATTGGGGATTTGGCGCATCAGCAGCCATCAAAGCGTTGCGTTGGTTACAGAAAACTTTACAAATTCCGGCTTGGAGTACTTTGCATGGACCAGTTGTCAATTCATTTTTGAATCCAAAAATTCATGAACGTAAGGAAGCCATTCCTTTGAGCCTATTCATCGTCACACAGTGGGAACGACGATTACTGATGAAGGACTGTCCTTTACAGGATCAGGTCGTTCTGGGTGGCTTCCTTTGTATGCTGTGGGCAGGCCTGAGATTCTCAGATGGACAGCGCATCAACTTGCAATCATTATCATGGTGCATCACGGCACTGCGTGGCTCATGCTTTCAGACTAAAACAACTAAATCCGGCCAACCTTGGGCCCTGCAGGCGAGGGGTTTCCTGTCTCGAGGCGATTGGTCATGGACAGCTCAGTGGTTGGTGGCGCTGGATACCATTTGGGGACCTATGCACAACGCTCAGACTGCCGGTGATTTTTTGCTTCCCATGACATTGGACACTGGATTTGTGCAGCCTATGATTCCCATGAGTTACTCTCAAGCATTGAAGTGGATGCGATTTATGTGCACACTGCCCTGGAAACTTTCAGACACACCAATGTCTGCCAATCCAAATGATTACACGTTGCATTCATTGAAGACCACTACTTTGTCTTGGTCCAATCAGTTGGCCCAGCAGGGCCTCGTGACGGAGGAGCAGCGACACCTCCAAGGCCACCATCGACGTGGCAGCATGCGCCTCTACAGCCGGGATGACACCGCCGGCCAGCTGGCACTGCAGGACACCCTCATCACCCAAGTGCAATCTGGATATCGATTTGTGACACCGTTGCATCGTGGATCACAGCAACCGATCCGTGAACCCCCAGTCAAATTAGAAAGCTTTGCCAAGTCATACCAAGAGCACCGATGGGCATTTTTTCCATTCAACAATGCTGTCAAAGACCCTCTGTTGAAAGGTCAGCCAACGGCACTTGCCACCATTGACTCAGGGGATGAGATCACAGTGGAAAGCGACTCGTCATCATCCTCCTCATCATCGAGCTCATCAGATTCACCTCGGAAAGTATCGAACAACATGACCCTGCTTGGACCTCCGGAGGAACTGGTTGTTGCCCGCTTTACAAAAATTCAACACATCATGCTTCACTGTGATGATCAACAACAGCCGGTTTGGGAAGGTGTGCATTATAGGGCAGCTTGTGGGGCTCGTTTACCCCGAGACCATTGTCATTTTGACACTCAGCTCCAACCATCATACAGCATTTGTCGACATGCAGCCTGCTGCAACCGTTGGCAACAAGTTTCAACCGATTCCTAATGAATCATTACTTCACTGCGGGGCGCCGAGCTTGCTGAAATGTGCAATTGACTGAGCAGCCATTGTTTTTCCACATACTCAGTTAAGGAGTGATGTGTCATGTTTTGTTTTCCTTTTCTCAAGTTGTTTTATCAAATGAATGACATGAAGATATCAGACATTATTTCAATCGACGCAACGAACTTCACTTGACTTCACAGTCACATTTGGTCGACATTCACTTGGAAGGCATCGAACTTAACCTCCATGCAGATGTGGCTCCAGGCTCCAACATCGATTCACTCAAGACACGTGATATTGGATCAACATTGAAAATGTTTACATTTTTAAGGCATTTGCATCAATCCAGGTTCAATCTTGGTTCAAAGTGTCTTCACAAATTTTCAGCAGCAATGCGTTCATCCATTTGCTTTGATTGGCATGTTGCCATCGCGTCGGCCTGGGGTCAGCGTAGGTCCACACAACCTTCCAAACTTATTAACAGTCCTTTTCTTTCCCCATACTCAATTTATGTCCCTCACATGAATCTTTTTTGATCGCATGATGAGAACTTCCATTTATACCAATCCATATGAATACACTGCTCACGTGTTCAATCATAATGCAGTTATGAATTATAATTTTTCGGTGGACGCTTCATCCAATGCGTTTGGCGTAGTCTCCTGTGGAGACAACATGGCTTTACCTGCGTTTGAAGACGTTTTGTCTGAATGTGGGGTTGACCCAACATTGGCTTCGCAGCTGGTGCAGGAGGGATGGACATCCCAAAATTTCGCAATGGTAGTTAATTCCAAAGAAGAGTTCAATGAAGGCATTTGGGACCAGTTGTGCAATTCACCAATTTCTTTGGTGCAGCGTTCAAACCTGAAAGTGGCTTGGCAACAGTTGCAACCTGACTCTACTAGTACCAGTCGGGACTCTAACATTGCTGGCATGCCGACAGCATCAGCTCCTGAAGGATCATGGTCTGAATCTTTCGCCCCCAAGCTTCAGGCGAACACAGTTTCGAAATTGAAGAAACAATTTTTGGAAGACTATCCATCAGAGGTCCTTAGCCCAGACACGATGCCCAGTTCTCGCTTGCTTTCAATGGCGTTTCAGCATCATAGCAAACGTGAGTATCCATGGATCCCTTGGCGTTATCGAATGTCACAATCCAAAATGGATGATATGGTGATTTACCATAAGCCCAAAGTCCCCCGCATTGAGGGTCTTCAATTACACCAGTTGTTGCTGGACGAACCTCCGGCCTTGGACATCAACAACACTGGGATGGGCGTGAACGCAATCCGCAACATGATGGATATTCACAACACTGCGATGGCATTAGTGGGAGCATGTCATCTCCAACGATTGCGGGCATACTCATTACGCTTCATGAGCTTCTTGACCCAGCGTTTGGACGGAGATTCTGGACTCCGGACGCCGAACGTACTGGAGGCACAGGCAGCAGACAAACAACTATGGAATCTGATTCACGAATTGGTGTTGGATCAAGGATTTACATTGGACAACGCCTTACATGAGGTGACTCACCTGAGGGCGGACATGGCCTCCCTTTTGCAGCCAAGAGCCAAGGTCACCTCACGACCTATGGGTTCAACCTCATCTTCGGCCTCGACCACTACAGCCCCCAAGGGCAAGAGTAAGGGAAAAGGCAAATCCAAATCCATTGGCAAGAACACCAGAGGCGAAGCTCAAGGACGACCAACTTGGGTGACAGAAGCAACGATTCAGGGCAAGAAGCAGCAGCTCTGTATGCAATTCCAATCTGGTCGCTGTCAGAAGGGTGATCTCTGCAAGTTTGGCCACTTCTGTGCCTATCCGCTTGCTTCTGGACAAGCTTGCGGCCAAGCCCATAGCGCATTTGCTCATCAACAACAACCCCACTGACTTGCGGCTTCCGATGCACAGACCACAGCGACCAGCATGGATCTCAGCGATGACAAGGAGGGCGAATTTTTTTCACCCCCAACCATCTCACCATCTCCTCAAGCCCAAGCTTTGGAGACTGTTTCACATACAGAGGAGGTTATCCCACCATCTGTTTCAAACAAAGTGGATTTCTCCTATTTACAAGGTTCTCGAATTTTTCTGGACCTATGCTCTGGAGCCGGACATCCTCTGACATCAGCGATGCTACAGCGTAATTGCATTTGCTTTCCAGTTGACAAATTGATTTGTGATGACATGGATATTTTGAATAATTCATTCTTTGAACCTTTGTTGCGTGTATGCTCATCTGGATGCGTGGGTTATGCAGGGGCCGCCCCAAACTGTGGTGAGTACAGCCGACTCAAACTGAAGCCTCATGGACCACCAGCATTGCGGACACCTGAGTTTATGCAAGGCCTTCCTGGTCTCACTCCAGCCCAACTTGACCGAGTCCAAGCGAGCTATGAACTGATGACCCGATGCGTTTTGTGCTTGGAATTGGTTTACTCTGCAGGTGGACATGTCCACCTTGAACAACCGACGAACTCTATGGCATGGCTGGAGGCGGAGGTTCGGCGATTCATAAAATTTTGTGCTATATTTTTGGTAAATTTTCCTGCTTGTGCTTTCTCGCGGAATTGGAATAAGAGTTGGTTGTTGGCATGTTCATATCCAGCTTTAAAATCCTTAGGATCCATTTGCAATCACCCCAAAGACTCCCATGAACCCATTTCTGGCGTTCGACATGCGGATGGAACCTTTAAGAGCCGCGACACTGCTGAATACCCGGAACCAATGTGTGCGGCGATTGCCAACTTGATTGCACCACTCTGCGCTTCTGACACTGGTCACCAACTGACATGGACAACAGTACAACAATGCATCCCTGTGAAGGGTTCTTGTGATTTTCCGGTGAGTTATGAAGATGGTGGTGGCCTCAACTCTGAACCCGATTGGAGTCGTCCACATCGGGCTACTCCTGACAGCTTGAAGCAACTTCGACAAGACTGGGTTCAATTGATCCTTCACAATGGGATGCTGGACAAAATGCAAGCGTTTTTTCGGGCCCATGAAGCCCAACCACCCTTTTCTGCAGAAGACTTGGCTCCATTTCGACACTCCATGGAACGTTTTATACAATCTCATGGCATGATTGCAGACTGGAGCATTCGCATGGACCAACCCATGCACCTTGAGATTATGGCGGCCATTTCAAGAATTATGCAAGACAAGGACAATTCCCTGTTTGATATGTTACGACATGGAGCTCCGACAGGAATCCAATCGGATATCCCACCTTCAACCATTTTTCCTCGTGCCGAAGACAAAGCAGATGATTCCATCCCTTTATCCATCCACATGACGAACTGGCAATCTGCAGAATCAGACTTGGAGACCACTCGTGATTTGGTCAACCAAGAGCTGGAAAAGGGATGGATCTACGAGTACCATGGCACCTTGGCCGATGCACAAGCAGAATTTGGGGACAAGTTAGCCATTGGACGTCTCGGCCTTGCTCTCAGCGATCATCGGCCCCCTCGATTAGTTGTTGACTCATCAATATGCGGCCTAAACAGTCGGTGCTCCATACCGGAGCGCACGACATTGCCGAGTGCATTGGACGTTATGCGGGTATACCCATTGAGGGAAACCCAAGAACAATTGGTGGGATTTTCGCTCGACATCAAATCCGCCCACAAGCTTGTTGTCATTCGAACAGAAGAACGCGGCCTATTAGGCTTTACACTCGATAACAAGATATACTTTTACAAAGTAGCCCCCTTCGGCGCTACCTTTAGCGCATATCACTGGACACGTGTGGGGAGCTTTATATTGAGGTTTTTCCACCACCTCCTGTGGTGGATCCACGCCGGATTCCTGTACGTTGATGACTACTTATTCCTTTTTCCTCAATCAGTAGCATTGATCATGGCTTGTGAGCTCTGCATAGCTTCACAAATTTTGAACATTCCTATCTCCTGGCGGAAATCTGAATTTGGTGCTCGGATTCACTGGATTGGCTGGCAATTTGAGATTACATCTGGGTACATAGCCCTACCTCTTGTGAAACTGGAAAAACTGCGCAACTACATCACACAGATGATACGATCTTCTCGTACCTCAAAGAAGGCATTGGAGAAGTTGGTTGGGCTACTGAATTGGGTGACTCAGATTTTTCTGCTCATGCGATGCTGGCTTCCAATATTATACAAGGACCTTTTCCATGTTCCTGCAAGTCATTTTAGCATCGACCCAGGCCATTGGCGTAATGTCATGGCTTGTCTGGACAATGATTTGAAATTTACCAGTGCACCCACAGGCACTGGTATACCTGTAGGCAGCACTTTGTTGGCCATTCGCCATCAAAACGTTTCCTCCCTGTCGGATCTCAACAATATTTATCTTTCTGAAAGACGCACATGGCTTCGCATTCGAGATATGCAATCGTCAAAGCGATGCTTATCATCAGACTCCATACGGATTCTGCATATGTTTTCAGCCTGGTTACAGTCACTCTCCCTGGTGAAATGTCTCAGGCCAAAACAACTTTGGACTGGCGAGTGCGCAGCTGACGCATGTGCTCATGGCGATACTTGCCAAATCGGCGGATTCATTCGTTTTCCTTCTGGCACCGCAGTTTGGTTTAGTGAAACCTTTTCCTATGCAAAATTTGAATCCATGCATATTCCTGTCAGCAAAGAAATGCAGAAATGTATCGCTTGTTTTGAGACCTTGGCACAAATGGCAATACTTTTTATTTTCAGCCGCAGCTCCCCTGGATTTCGATATCCCTTACGTATACCTTCCTTGACTGATAACACTGGAGCAGAAGCGGGCGGCAACAAATTATTTTCGATGTCATCTCCGATGAACCTTTTTCTCGAAAAGCTGACTCTGTTATGTACCTTCTCCGGCATGGAACTTGACCTTTCTCATATTTCTGGCGAACGAAATGAAGAAGCAGATGCACTGAGTAGGTGGAACGAATCCACACCACCACCTTTTCAACACCTATTGCAAAATCGATTTCCACTTACACTGGAACAGCTGTGGCATCCAGAGACTTCAGTTGCGGTATATCCTCCAGAGACCTTTTTAGCTTGGCAACTCCCATAGAAACTGGACTGGGTAAAATTTTTACAAATCCACTCATCCCTCTATATATCTTTTCGACTGCTGGAATCCAACACATATATTGGGGCGTAATTGGCGTTTGTATCCCACCAGCCTGATAGATGAATTGGCAGAAAATAACCATCAGCCTGGCGTTTACACATTTGAACACGAAATGTGGTTCAAATGGATCCAAAGACAATTAACAATTCTGGCAGTCGAAAAAGAGATTAATATAAAGTGCGGTCTGTGAGATTCCGTCGTTTTGCGGTATTGCGTTTTCATTTATAGGTTTTGATTTATTTGAATAATAAATAAAAATTATATAGGGGAATGTCTACTTGAGCCAGAACGTGTAGTGTACTTGTTCACTAATGTTTTGGGAATGTAGAACTTCATCCTATGATGGGCTACATTTTGGCTCAAGTTGACATTCCCTGTTTGAAGGGATTTTTGTTTTCCCCCCCACCCTCACCAATGATATTAAAGGGGTTTCGGGGACTATCTAACCTACACTCCCTTTTTCTATACCCGGTCCGGTTTTCAATTGCGTACGTTTCACATCCTCAGCGTTCACTTTAAGTGAACCTATTGCAGCGACGCCATCTTCATTCGACTTCATCCCTTTTTCTTGGCCAAATATTGGCTACCTGATGGGCAGAAAATAACCATCAGCCTGGCGTTTACACATTTGAACACGAAATGTGGTTCAAATGGATCCAAAGACAATTAACAATTCTGGCAGTCGAAAAAGAGATTAATATAAAGTGCGGTCTGTGAGATTCCGTCGTTTTGCGGTATTGCGTTTTCATTTATAGGTTTTGATTTATTTGAATAATAAATTAAAATTATATAGGGGAATGTCTATTTGAGCCAGAACCACTAGTTTTCATCGCTAGGTCAGCCATCCTACACCAATTCGTACACCTAGGTGTAACCCAATCCTGATTGTTTCGCTTCTTACCACTTTTGTTTCCAACACACGGCCCCGCCAGGGGAACCCTGACCCCGGGTGCCGGGTGTTCGGGGTTCTCCCTGGCATAGCCAATCCCGTTCACACGTTTTGCACTCCCTACCAGCATAGTACCCATTGCCTTCGGCCGGTCGCTTGGCACCTGACATCCGGGTACCGGCTGTTCAGGGTCAACCCGGCGTCAGCATGATGCAACAGCTTATAACATCAAATAGATTTATTTCGTTGACGTCGCCTGACCCTGATGATTCAGATACAGAGATCGAACCAACAGAGCCAATCGTTTCGGACAACGCAGTTGAGGATGTGTCCATGGACAGCGACACAGAATACTTTGACGCTATCGAAACAGTTGACGTCGATACAGATGATGACGTTCCTTATTTTCAGCAGGGGGCCGAACCTCCTCCAAGGGAACAGTGGGAAATTGCTGAACCTATCGATTTCCTCAATGTACAGGCAGTCACACAATTAAGCCATCAGCTTGACCAACTCTTCCTCTCTCAGAAAGAGATTGAGACTCCCCTCGGCATGGACGACCTCAAACAATGGTGGAAATGGGATGATGTTGGCTCTTGTCGCATGCCCAGGGCACCCACGACATACCCTGCACTCATGATAGATGAAGGGAATGGCATCCAACGTCCAGCAGCCAGTCAGGTACATCACAAAACGCTTTTCCAGTGGATCATAGACAATCTCTCATGGTTACCAGAGTATGCCACTGTTTATGTGTATGTGGACAATCGCAAGCTGCCAGGCACTGATCCTCCAGCCTATTGGCCACTCTTTGCACCCTGGATCAAAGGCCGATGTACAGTAACTGGCCCCTACTGTGAGAAAACGACTGCTATTCATCTTCCCATTCATGCTGATACAGGTTTACACCAGGTCCATTATACCTGGGCTGGTGCCGCAGCTTTGGAGGCGCTGTGCCTAATGTTTCCCACAGTAAACTTTGCCCTCATTGACTCTGACTGCGTGCCGACCTCGTTGTTTGAGATAGCTGAACTAGTTAATCTTATGACGGATAAGACAAGTAGAGCCGCAGCAATGCAACACAACATAATGGCCAGTTCTAACCAGTGCCCCCCAGCAGTACTCCTCGCCACGGAGGCCAAGGCAGAACTCAATGCCGGCCTGATCATTGTGACAGGGCATATCCCCATTGAGACAGCTGATGTGGACATGGACCAGGCAACCCCTGAAGCAGGCATGCCATCCGTCACTGCACCAAGCTCCTCGCCGAGTAATGCACCTGCCCCCAAGGCGCGACGAATAGCCCACCCTGCCAACCGCCGAACAGCGGAGGATTGGGTCACCGCACTTCGAGAAAGCCGAGCCAGCTTCCTAGCGACAACCGCCGTGCCTGAAGACCCTGTAGAAGCGATGAGAGGCGGGCTACTGCTCACCCCCCTACTAGGCTGTAAGGCTAGAACTCCGCTTGACTGGACACATGCATGGGCAATGCTAGGTGAATGGGCTGGAGCCATTGCTTTCCCCATACCGGAGCAAGGAGAATGGCCTCGTCATGGTGATGGACGATATCTTAGACCGGACTTTGTCGAGCGGACACCGCCATTCCTTACCTGGGCACGCCCCATCTTCGAGCAAGGGGCACTCTCCCCTATGTCAGTCTTCCCAGCCGACTTCCCTATCCTCTGCCTTCCAGGAGACAAATTGTTCCAAAGTAAGGAGTTGACTATAGGGTATAGCCTGCCACCAATTCTACACGCCTTCCATGGGAGTAAAGTAGGCCTAGGGCACCAACTTCAACAGTGGCTAAGCAAAGGTCTGCAACCGCTAGCTGTGTCGCTCATAGGAGTTGAAGATGCACCCCCCTTATGGACACACCCCACAGGCTGCGACTTTATTAGAGGGGGTAAGCTAGTCGTCAAGCCGCAAGTTCCACAAAACAGAAGCCTTACCCCGACACAGGTGCTGCTACTCCAGAGCCTCTGGACGCCAGTCGAAGCCCCCAACAGCAGCAATGGCCATACACCCTGGCCCAAAGATTGCGAGCCTGCCGTCGTTTTCTGTGGTCAGCATGCGAGCCTTAAGCTTCCCACCGCCCCCATCCTCCCCCAGCTCGAAGCGCTCCAACGACGACTGAACGTTGACTCCAACAACGCAGAGCTTGCCATCAATGAGGTGCTTGCCAGCCATAATGACCCCAAATACACAGACTGGAAAATCACAGTCATGGATAACACCTCCTGGCAACTCAATGACGCTGACCCAGGGTCCCTGGAAGTTCAGTGCACTGGGTTGGGTGGAGGAGAGCTTGATGAAGACTGGGATGTGTTAATGGCTTGTAGAAAGGAAGCACATGTTTATGGGCCATACCTGAGCAAACAGGACGATTGGAATGCAAGAGTTGGCACAGTAGCAGGCACTGCCCACACGCAAGAATATTTGCTACTGCACATCGCCATGTTTCCCATCGGAGCACACTTCTGGTGCCGTGTTTTAGGAATGCCCAGAGCGAACCAATTACAAGCACAGATCATCAGTCGAGCCATGAAGCTGTTGCGCTTCTGCCCTATCATTCCAGCGCACAGGAAACCACCATGGCCGGGGTACACACATGGTCTGAGACTTTTTACCAAGCTACTGGTAGCACATCCTCTGGTCGGAGTCTGCCTGCCCCCTGACATCCGTCCAGCGGACTACCTCAGGTTGACAGGATATATGATAGGCTCTTTCAACATCCGAGGGCACAGCGCTGGCTCGTATGCAGGAATGGTATGGGAAACAATCCTCTCAGAGTTCCCAGATGTTGATGGTACCACAGTGCTAGCAGCCATTGCGCTGCCACCATCGTTGCTAACAACATACAACTCATCACAGCTGAGAGAGATTCATCTCATCCACCATGCGGATGACAAGCTGTGTGTCTGGAACCCGTCAAACCATGACATCAAATTGCTCAAGCAGCGAGGCTTTAAAATCACGTATGTCACAGGATGGAGAGCATACCTTGGCACTGCGCAGCATAACTACTCGCATTGGACTAGGGTTGCCCTCCCAGAAGGACGACCGGATCTGGAACAGCTGGAAGGCATCCCAGGGGTACTCCCCTTCGAAGTGTACTCACAAGCTCCTCTTCGCCTGATCTCATGGTGTAGTTTCGAGCTCCCAAGAACTGCCAGAAAACTCTTGCGTGAGCTAGCGGAAATGTGCGAGCTACCTGAAACCACAACACAAGCACTGGTTGCTCAAATTGCTGTCCATAACGCAGAGATCAAAACTGAGCAAGAAGCTACCCAATACCTAGCCGGGTTGGCAACGGTTACCATCTCCTCAAGGGCCAATTTGCATAATTATACCACCATGGTCCAACAGTTCCTTGGTACCCTACCCCTGCCCATGGCTGTCTACATGTTAGACTACTACCTGCCCATGCTCAGTCCTAATGAAGGCTATAATGAAACAGGGTTAACAATGCAAAGTGCAGGACCGGTTCGACAGCCATCGCAACCCATTGCCCTCGAGTTTCTTTTCAAAGGCAGCGAGTTTGGCCACTGGAGAGTCAAAGGTGGACAGGATGCGTTCGCATTCCGACATCCAAGCCTTGGTAAAACTGATGTGTTTAGCCTACTTGCCAGCGATGCGCACCACCACAAAGTCAGCCCCATTGGCACGGGTAGGCTCATCGCCATGGTTGGCACAGCAGAAGCACCAGCTGATGACGGAGATGACCTCCAAGTCCTATTTGGTTTGGTCCTCGCCATCACACCGCGTGCAGCCAAAAAGAAGGATGAGCTGGCAGCCTCACGTATATACAGACAATGTAACCCTAAATTCATTGAGGTCGCCTTCCTTACCGTACCTGCCATTAAGTTCTTTGCAAAGGAACAGCTTGAAACCCTCCAAGACTTGTACACTGAGTCTGGCCAATGCCTGGACCCTATTGATGCAACAGTCCAGGGGCAAAACAGTCCGGTTCCAAAGGTCTTTTTTCTCCACACAATGTGGATGTTTGGATGTACCAAGCCCACCCGCGAGCTCACAGCTGTCGCGCAAACCT